CGGGTGCCGGCGTTTCCTCCCTCCGCGAAGGGCCGCCCGTGCTGGGGTCGGGTGGTCAGCCGAGCCTTGGCTTTGCGCGCAGCCGGGAAGCGCGCTGCTTCCATTTTCTGTCTCCCCACGCAGCGCCTGACGCGCGGGTCTTCCCCAGGCTGCGCGGAAGCCGTGTGGAAAAAGAGGGGCGCCTCAGTTGACAGGCCTCCTAAGCGTGGTTTTAACTAAACTTCGGGAGACTTCAGTACGCTGAGATACCTATTAACGCGCTCTTCTCTTTGTGTGTGTGTTTTTTTTTTTCCTCCCCTAGTTCTCTTTTAATATGTTTGATCACCCCATCCCTCGGGTTTTCCAGAACCGCTTCTCAACCCAATACCGCTGCTTCTCGGTATCCATGCTTGCCGGACCTAATGACAGGTCAGATGTGGAGAAAGGCGGGAAGAGTATGTGCATGTTTTCTTTTGACTAATAACCTGTTGGAAGAGTGTTTGTGTATAATATCAAGAAATACAGCTTTTGGCCAAGACTATAGAAACATTGTCGAACAGCACGGAGACGTACTGTTGGCTTTGTGGCTGGAGCTACAAGAGCACCCTGGGTGGGGCTTTAAGAAGGGAGGAGTAGGGCTTTATCATATGACTGTGTAACTAAAAAACTTACCGAGTACTGGTTTAAGAACATTAGAAGAAGTCGTTTGTCTTTTTTAAAGTCTGTTGTTAAAATCTTCAGCCCATTATGAGCCATGGCAATTTATGATTGAGGACTTTATGCCCCCTCCTTGTTGTACCTCACTTAGCTTGAACAAAGAGAGTAGATCGGCCAGCTTAATTTTCAGACAAATGCTGTGTTGTTTTGAGTTGGCATCGATTCAGGAGCATCTATAAGCCCAAACAAATAAAATTACCTTTAGAAAACGTGTTCTTTAGTACTAGGTATTGTAAAACCTTGTCTTCTAATTTTTTTCTGATTAAATTCTGAAATCTCCATGCTAGCAGATGTGTTTGTCGTGACTGTTTCTACTGAAATTTCTGGCTCAAAAATGAATTTGCAGGAGACTTTAGAATCTCTTCTTTTTTTTTTTAGAAATTTTAGAGAAAGAAATTATAAAATTGTGTTATGTACTCTTTGTACAGTCATACTTTTCCTAATCTCACATCTTATTCATTTCTGCAGTAATTATGCCACCATCGGCTTTGGATCAACTCAGTAAGTGACTGTTTTATTCTGGAATAACAACATTAGAAATATGAGCGAGTGCATAAGCAACTACCACAGTATTTCAGTTATCTATTAAAATCTGACTCAAATAGAGAACAACATGAGACTGATTAGTTCAAAAAATGCATTTTGGGAGTATTTTGTCTGTCAGAATTAATGAGGCCTGTCTGTCTTCAAGTGCAGGCATCTGAAGTGTTGGGCTACCTGAGGCATGAATCAGTATTTATTAACTATTAACAGCATACTGAGTATAATGGTTACAGATGATCTAGTAAATTTTTAATCTTAACATGCCTGTTCTGGATGCTGTTGTCTGGAGCAAAATTTATTTTAAAGATTGAGTGATAGTTAACTTTGAAATGGGGAAAAAGATAACTGAATCCATAGTATAAATGGTCTTTATTGGCCTTTTTAACTAAGAGGTTTTTTGTGTCCCCTTCTGAGTTTTAGCCTCAATAGAATTTCTTTGAGAAATGAGTTTAGTCGGGATTTAATTTTAAAATAGGCAGGGCCTGTTAAAATTCATTAGGTAGGAGCTAACTTTATTAGCACAAGGACATAACAGTAATAGATTCC